TCGTTCCGTCCCAGCCGGCCAAGCAGGTCTATGCCGTCGACACGGCCTTGGCCCAGCCGACCTGGCAGGTCTACACCGTCGACACGGCCATGGCCCTTGGCGCCCCCTGGCGACTCGACCAGCGTGTACCTCGCCTTCCCCACCACCGTGTCTGTGAGGAATGTACGTGCAGGCTATCCCTACCTGTCCCGACAAGCACCTCCACCGGAGTGGACTGACGCCGCAGCGCGTAACACAGAATTCCCTGGCATTTTTCCGCAGGGTTGCACGATGCCCGAGCTTCCCTGGGTGTTGCAGTTCAGCCAGCCACCCCCCCGCCGTGGCTGTCACAGCTGCTGCTTTTGCGAGCTGGCCCGGCCGGCTCGCGCTGCGCCCAGCAGCTAATTAGGTTTGCCCGACTCCCTGTTCGCCGCCTGCGCTCTCGGCTCGCGGCCGCGACCACAAAGTATCCCCACCAGCGGCCCGTCGGCGTTCGGTAATTCGGCTCTTGCGCGGCCCGCTCGGACCTGAGTCGCCGCTGGCGCTCTCGCTTGCGGTTGCGACAAAACTATCCCCACCAGCTGGCCGTGTCTGTCGTTGCCGCCGGTTTGGCGGGACGCTGCCCAGTTGGTTTGTTCAGGAGTGGTTCAACCTTCTTGGCCTGCCATGTGTGTTCGTCCCAGTTGGCCTGCAGCCTAGCACGTTGGACTGTTTATGCAGCCCCGCGCTTCGCCACGATTGTGGCGCGTCGAACTCGGGCGCCTGGTGCGACAAGGTCAAATTCTTCACGCTTCGCGTATCCCCACCAGCCCATCTCAAAACAACAACTCTAGCGAAGCATGCCGACAGTCGTGTTTTTCATGCGTGTTTCCGCCTGCCCCCGCATATCTCCCCTGTTCCTCCTTCCTCCCGCCTCCTTGTACATCCTCCTTGTGGTGGGAGCGGGAAAAGGACGAGGCGGAGGAGGAGGGAGAGAAAACGCTCCTCGCGGTTTGAGTCGTTCGGGCTTCTCGTCCTGGTGTGAGTCGTTCGGGCCCGTCTTCCTGGTGTGAGTCGTTCGGGCTCTTCGTGGTGTGAGTCGTTCGGGCTCTTCGTCCTGGTGTGAGTCGTTCGGGCTTCTCGTGGTGTGAGTTGTTCGGGCCCTCGTCCTGGTGTGAGTCGGTCGGGCCCCTCCTCCTGCCCGTCCAGAAACGACGCCCAGGCGAGTAGAGGGTCGTCCTGATGGGCTTTTCGGCGTCTTGGGTGCCTCGGGGGGGCCTCTTTGGGCCGTTTGGGATCCTCTTGGGGGCCTCCCGGGGGCCTCTTGGGGCCGTCTTGGGGCCTCTTGGTGCCTCCTGGGCGCTTCTTGGGGCCATCTTGGAGGAAATCGATCAAAGAAGAGAAGAGCTTTAATTAGCGCTGCCCCCTCAGAAGGCCAAAATGGGGCCAAAACCTTACTAAAATCAATGATTTTGGCTTGAAAGAAGAGGGGAGCTTTAATTAGCGCTGCCCCCTCAGAAGGCCAAAATGGGGCCAAAACCATAGTAAACTCAATGATTTTGGCTTCAAAGAAGAGGTTTTTTTTTTTCTCCCCCCCCCGTCGGGGCCAGAATCCTCGTGAGGGGTGTCGTTTTTTAGCCCTCCCAGGGGTCGAAAAAGACCCCTCCAACCACCCGCGAAAGGACCTCTCCAGGTCCAGGGGGAGGGGGTAGGGGGAGGGGTAAACCCATCCCCGAAGGGGAAGAAGGGGGTTGAGAACAGAGCGGGCTCTCTAAACCACTCACGCCCAAAGGGCTGGTGGGATTCGTTGAATGTGTGTTTCTGGACGCCCTGCGCGCGGTCGGCCGCGCGCCTTGCACGCAGATCTAGATCATGTAAACGTTGCTGGATCTGCCCTCCCATCTTTTTCCTCCGCGGCCGCCCTCTTCTCGTCCATCCAGCCGTGGCTAGGTCGCTGCCCGCGTGGCCCGCCGGCTGTCCGAACGCGTTAGGCTCGCCAGCGCCGCGAAGAGAAGTTATCAGGGCGCCCCAGTTTCGAGACCCAACGCGAGGCGGCCCCTGATTCTGTCCGTCGGCGCTATAGTTTTCGTAAGGCGCGCGCTCGCGCCCCGACCAGCGCTTCAAGCATTTGCAGGTTAGTGGGGCCGTATGTTCAGAGTACTGTTTCCCTAATTGTTGTGGTTCGTGTTCATGCGGTATTGTCTCCAATCACCATGAGCAACTTCCCAGGTGCAGCGAAACAGTAAGCCTTACGTTCGTGCGCGCGACGTTCTCTTGCAACCGAAAACGAGGATGGGAAAATAAGGAGCGGGAAACGTTATGCCCACGCAGAGCTTCATGCAATTGAGCAGCATCGCATTCAGGATTCATCTGCCTGACATGACTTGGAGATGAGATATAGAGGAGCAGTTCATTGTGTGTTGGGTATTGGTTTGTTTGTCTGTTTTTACCTAACAGCGAAGACTGATAGGTTTCTAATGGTCTCAAAAAAAAGCATCATGACTCCCCAGGGGGGTCCGGGCAGGATCCAGGGAGAATCCGCGGAAGTCGTTTTTAGCAAACAGTTACACACTTCGTGATCTTCGAGGTCCCAGAACTCCATTCCCGGGCCACATTCTGAATGCCCGGAGCCAACTGTAGGCCACTTCGTGCTCTTCGAGTTCCCAGAACTCCATTCCCGGGCCACATTTTGAATGCCCGGAGCCAACTGTAGGCCACTTCGTGCTCTTCGAGTTCCCAGAACTCCATTCCCGGGCCACATTTTGAATGCCCAGAGCCAACTGTAGGCCACTTCGTGCTCTTCGAGTTCCCAGAACTCCACTCCCTGGCCACATTTTGAATGCCCGTAGCCAACTGAGGCTGAGGCAGGCTGCTGCTGAGGCAGGCTGAGGCTGAGGCTGAGGCAGGCTGAGGCTGAGGCAGGCTGAGGCTGAGGCCGAGGCTGAAGGCAGACTGAGGCTGAGGCTGAAGCAGGCTGAGGCTGAGGCTGGGGCAGGCTGAGGCTGAGGCTGAGGCAGGCTGATGCTGAGGCAGGCTGAGGCTGAGGCTGCGGCTGATGCAGGCTGAGGCTGAGGCAGGCTGAGGCTGAGGCCGAGGCTGAAGGCAGACTGAGGCTGAGGCTGAAGCAGGCTGAGGCTGAGGCTGAGGCAGGCTGAGGCTGAAGCTGAGGCAGGCTGATGCTGAGGCTGACTGAGGCTGAGGCAGAGGCTGAGGCAGGCAGAGGCTGAGGCAGGCTGAGGCCTGAAGGCAGACTGAGGCTGAGGGCTGACAGGCTGAGGCTGGAGTCTGCGTGCAGGCGGAGGTAGAGCTGAGGCAGCTGATGCCTGAGCAGGCGAGCTGAGGGCCTGAGCTGGATCAGGGCGAGGCTGCTGAGGCAGGCGGAGGCTGAGGCCGAGGCTGAGCAGGCTAGGCTGAAGGCGAGGCAGCTGAGGCTGGAGCTGAGGGCGCCGATGCTGAGGCTGAGGCAGGCTGAGGATGAGGCAGGCTGAAGCTGAGGCCGAGGCTGAAGGCAGACTGAGGCTGAGGCTGAAGCAGGCTGAGGCTGAGGCTGAGGCAGGCTGAGGCTGAGGCTGAGGCAGGCTGATGCTGAGGCAGGCTGAGGCTGAGGCTGAGGCAGGCTCAGGCTGCGGCAGGCTGAGGCTGAGGCCGAGGCTGCAGGCAGACTGAGGCTGAGGCTGAAGCAGGCTGAGGCTGAGGCTGAGGCAGGCTGAGGCTGAGGCAGGCTGAGTCTGAGGCTGAGGCAGGCTGAGGCTGAGGCTGCGACTGTGACTGCCGTTGCCACTGCGACTGTCATCGCGAATGCGACTACGACTGCGAGAACAGCAGAATTCTACAACTGGATTCTCATCTGAATCTTAAGGGGAATGCTTCCAGATATGCTCCTACACATCGCTGTTAGGTTGCTTTGCCGGGATAATTATAATATATGTATAACATGATGCGTTGTAAACTCTGTTAGCATGTAAGTTTCGGTCCGGGGAGGGTTCCGATGGGAGGGTCCTGGGGGCGTTAGCGGCTAGATTTGAGGGGGGTCCGTGGGACCCCCCGAAACATTTTGGGGATGCGCAAATCATTAAGGAAACGCCAGATAAGGGGGACCCCCCCCCCTCCCCCCCTTCCCCCGGGGGGGGTCCGGGGAGGGTTCCAAGGGGAGAGTCTTGGGGGTGGTCCTTGGGACCCCCCGAAACATGGGTGCGCAAATCATCCAGAAAACGCCAAATGGGGACCCCCCCCCCCCTCCTCCCCCCCTTCCCTCAGGGGGGGGGTCCGGGGAGGGTTCCGAGGGGAGAGTCCTGGGGGGCGTCCCTGGTACCCCCCGGAACATCTTGGGGATGCGCAAACAAGAAAGCAAACGCCAGATGGAGGACCCCCGCCCTCTCAGCCCCTTCCCCGGCAGAGCCACCCCGGCGACCCCCCCAAGCAGATCTGAAGCTCTTGCTTGGGCTCAGAGCTGAAGCTCTTGCTGAGGCTCCTTGTAGTTCACACGCCGGATCGGCGGATATGGTTCGTTGTCTTCCTACCCCTGGCCCTTCACCAAGTGAGAGGCGCCCCCCACTCCTTCCTCCGCCCTGCCCAACCCGCTCCCGCTCTCCCAGGCCCCTCCCTTCCCTTCACCTCCTTACTCCGCCCCGCCACGTCCCGTCAATTCCCTGCGTGGCTGGGAAGCCACTGGCACCGAGGCTGAGTTGGGGCTCAGGTCAACCTTCCAGGGTCCACCTCGATCCTGTCGATTCCACTCGATACCGATTCAGGCCGGCTCGACTCCGACGTGCCGACGATCCGGTGTGGCCCGATGCGTGTGTGGCGTTGTCGTGCACCCTGGCGCAGCCCATCCGATTCTATGTCGTTTCCGTGCCGATGCAGCCCGATTCGACGAACATAGATTCGTTCCCATTTCCCGATGCGATGGTGACTGATCTTGGGCTGGCTTAGGATTGAGGTCGGCCGTCTCTTCATTCCCATCCCCTTCCCATCCCATCCCATCTCATTGCGCACCATCGTGCCAAGTCCCTGCGTGTCCCGCACTGATACAGGGTTGGGAGGTCGATCTTGTGGAGAAGGATCCCAAATCTCGTCAGGCAGCGCGCTTTGCCTTTGGTCTTCTAAGCGAGCATGGGGGGTTGTTGAACAGCAGGAAGAAAATGATGATGATGCTGCTGCTGATGATGCTGATGCTGATGCTGATGCTGATGCTGATGCTGATGCTGATGCTGATGATGCTGATGATGCTGATGATGCTCATGATTTGTACAAGTCTGCTGATGCCACTGTCAATGAGGATGCAACTGTCGACGATGATGATGATGATGATGATGATGATGATGATGATGATGATGATGTTGCTGCTGCTGATATTGTTGATGATGCTGCTGCTGATGATGCTGCTGCTGATGATGATGATGGGGATGTTGATGGTGATGGTGATGGTGATGATGATGGTAATGGTGATGATGATGATGGTCATGGTGATGATGATCATGTGAGCGGTGATGGCAAGTATGGTGATGATGCTGATGATGAGGAGGAGGAGGAGAAGGGTGAGGATGACGATGATGATGCTGATGCTGATGATGAAGATGCAAGCTGTGATGATGGTGATGCTCATGTTGATGATGATCATGACGATACTGATGATGATGATGATGGTGATGATAATGCTGATGATGACAACGACGATGATGCTGATGCTGATGCTGATGCTGATGCTGGTGCTAATGATGCTGCAGATGATGCTGATGATGAATATGATGACGATGACGATGACGATGTTGATGATGCTGATGATGATGCTGATGATGATGATGCTGATGCTGATGCTGCTGCTGATGATGCTGCTGATTATGACGTGATGATGGTGGTGGTTGTGGCGTCTGTGGTGGTGGTGATGATGCTTATGCTGCTGATGATGATGCTGATTATGCTGCTGATGATGATTATTATGATGGTGATGATGGTGATGATGGTGATGATGATGATGCTGCTGATAATGATGATGCTGATGCTGATGCTGATGCTGATGATGCTGATGATGCTGATGATGCTGATGATGCTGATGATGCTGATCATGTGTACAAGTCTGCTGATGCCACTGTCAGTGAGGATGCAAGTGTCGACGATGATACGATGATGATGATGATGATGATGATGATGATGATGATGATGATGATGTTGCTGCTGTTGATATTGTTGATGATGGTGATGATGAGGATGATGATGATGGGGATGCTGATGGTGATGGTGATGATGATGGGAATGGTGATGGTGATGGTCATGGTAATGATGATCATGTGAGCGGTGATGGCAAGTATGATGATGATGCTGATGATGAGGAGGAGGAGGAGGAGGAGGAGGGTGAGGATGACGATGATGATGCTGATGCTGATGATGAAGATGCAAGCTGTGATGATGGTGATGCTGATTTTGATGAAGAGCATGACGATACTGATGATGATGATGGTGATGATGATGCTGATGATGACAACGACGATGATGCTGATGCTGATGCTGATGCTGGTGCTAATGATGCTGCAGATGATGCTGATGATGATTATGATGACGATGACGATGACGATGCTGATGATGATGCTGATGATGATGCTGATGATGATGCTGATGCTGATGCTGATGCTGCTGATGATGATGCTGATTATGACGTGATGATGGTGGTGATTGTGGCGTCTGTGTTGGTGGTGGTGGTGGTGATAATGCTTATGCTGCTGATGATGATGCTGATAATGCTGCTGATAATGATTATTATTATGGTGATGACGGTGATGATGATGATGATGATGATGATGATGATGATGATGGTGATGATGGTTATGATGATGATGCTGATGATGATGATTATGATGATGATGATCATGATCATAATGATGATGATGATGATGATGATGACGATGACGAACATGATGATGATGATGATGCTGATGATGATGATGATGGTGATGGTGATGGTGATGGTGATGATGATGATGATGATGATGATGATGATGATGATGATGATGATGATGATGATGATGATGATGATGATGATGATGATGATGATGGAGCAGAGGGGAAGAAGGTTGATAAGGCGGAGCAGGAGGAGCAGGAGGGAGAGGGGAAGGAGGAGGAGGAGGAAGAGGAGGAGGAAGAGGAGGAGGAAGAGGAGGAGGAGGAGGAGGAGGAGGAGGAGGAGGGGGATCAGGGCGAGGAGGAGGATGAGGAGGAGGAGGAGGAGGAGGAGGAGGAGCAGCAGCCGTATGAGTTCCTCGGTCCTTCGAACATATGTCTCCCGCTGCAGCGTTGTCTACATTTCGGGATCGGTGCTTTTCTCCCGTCGTTCAGAACGGCACTCTTGCCCCAGCCCGAGCTGTATTTCTGGAGCAGGTTCCCTTTTCGTCGCTTCCGCCCTCCTCCGTTTTCCTCCTCCGCCTTCTGCTGATTCTCGTCCCGTTCCTACTCCTGCTGCTCCTGCTCCTGATGCTGCTGATCCTCCTCGTTCTTCCCCGTCGTCTCTTCTACCTCGCATCTTCTTGCTCATATGCCGCCTCCTGCTCCTCTTGCTCCTGCTCCTGCTCCTGCTCCTGCTCCTCCTCCTCCTCCTCGTCCGCCACCTCCCCCAATGTACAAGATCCTTATACCTTTTTGCATCGATTGTTGGGATCGATGTCCTCTACCCCCACACGGACACACAAGAATGCGCTACAGTGGAAGAGATGGGTGGGAGGGGTCGGATGAGGGATGTGGTGCGAGCGCACCCAGCTTGCCCAACCGCTCCTTCTGTCTTCACCTCCCCCTTCACCCTGGCCATCACTTCAGCTTCCTGCCTCGGATTGCCTTCCTCTCTCTCTGTCGCCTCGCCTCCGGCCTCCCCCCCCGCCCCTCCGCGACCCCCCTCCCCCGCCCCCGCTCCACGAGGAGGAGGAGGAGGAGGGAGGAGGAGGAGGAGGAAGAGGAGGAGGAGGAGGAGGAGGAGGAGGGGGGGGAGGAGGAGGAGGAGGAGGAGGAGGAGGAGGAGGAGGAGGAGGAGGAGGAAGGAGGAAGAGGAGGGAAGGGGAGGAGGAGGAGGAGAGGGAGGGAGGAGGGGAGGAGAGGAGGGGAGAGGCAGGAAGGAGCGTCGAAAAGAGACGAGTAGGGTATCGAATGAGAGAAGCGAGGCGGAAGGGGGAGCAAATGCGATCAGCCGAAGGGGAAAGGGAAAGAGAAAGTAGGAGGGGCACCTGCGCGGAAGGCTCGACGTCGGCCTCTGTCTCTCTGGGCCTGCCGCGTCCGGCGCCCCTCGCCGGCTCGTGCGCCGACCACTCGAGGCCTACACCTTGGGCGACGCTTAAGGAAAACCTAAGTTTTCCGTCCCCGTTTTCGTCCAATAAATGAAATGGTCTCGATGATTCTTAATTTTTCAATGTAGATCCGAAGATTTTGATAGAAGTTCTGGGTTTTTATTCAAGTTCTGAGACTATGAATTTCTTAACCCATGATTTCTTAAGCATTTCGCAGGGTGTACAGTGGGGGCGCGTGCCAAAAGCCGGGTGGATTTTGCCAGGGTGCCCTGGGCTTCTTGGATCTCGATGGGCCTCCAATGAGATCTGGGCGGTTTCCCGATCGACAGATTTGGGTTCTCACGGAACAGATCGCGGATTCCAGGGTTGGGTTTCTTGCGGAGGTTTCTTGTGACCGAGCCCCCACTGTACCCAATCGCCTTTGCTTGCCTTAAGTCGGGCATGTCCCTCGACAGGAGGAATATTCGAAAATAACTCAAAAATAGCCCAGGGACGATTTTTCAATTCTGTTTGACAATGTTTGTGAGCCTTTTTGGGGGGGTGCCTTGTTTTTTGGGGGGGCTATTCTTTTCCCACTTTCGCCCAGAATCCGCCTGTAGGAAGACGTACCCGACCTATCCTTTGCCCCGTCTAGTGCCCAGGTCTACCACGAGGCTGCGGTGGAGTTCGCGCAGCAGCACGGCCTGCTCTTCAAGGAGGCCAGCTCTCGCGCATCAGTGACCGGCACATTCTGCCTTGCTCTGACCCTGCTGCCACACATCGTAGTCGCATCCGCGGTTCTCTCCTGACCACTCCGCTCTGGATGTGTGCTCCTCCTGCTCCTCCTCCTCCTCCTCCTCCTCCTCCTCCTCCTCCTCCTCCTCCAAGGCCGCGGACGGCTCAGGCCGACGCATTCATGCGGCCTCTGCCCCCCCCCCCCCCCCCCCTCACTGCCGCGATCCGCCCAGGATCGCGCACCCCCCCACCTGGTCAGCGGTGCGGCTCTCGCCGGGCCGCCGCGGTGCTCCCGCGCGGCAGGGGGGGCAGGACGGGAGGACTGGGAGGCAGAGGACGGGCGGAGGGGACGGACTACAGCAACGCAGGTGACCCGATGGAGGACCGGGTGACAGGATCAGAGTCAGGAGGGAAAAAAACACACAGACACAATTAATCCTCGATTCCCAGGAAAATATAAGAAAATATGGGAATTGGGGGGGAAGACAAAAACCCAGAAAATATGAGAAAATATGGGGACTATTTTTATTTGTGTGTATTTATTTGTGTGTCTTAATTTCCTTTTACAGAGGCTAGCAACATATGTACACGTACGCGGTTAGCTTCCCCTGGACTGCGTGTCAACGCGGACGTACGTGCAGGCAAGACCGCGGAGGGCGTACATGTACATATGTCGTTGCTCGCCCACAGGAACAACGGTTCCTACCGAGACGCGGTCTGGCAGTCCACAGTCCCAGATTGGGGAGCTGAGTCGGGACGAGTGGGACACGGAGTACCAGGGTGTGATGACGGGTCGGGGCCTGAGGAGCATGAAGGAGGAGCACGAGAACACGGATCGGGCCGAGGGGATCATACATGACATGCCATCACCGTCATCACCATCATCTGCGCCGAGCGTGAGGGCCACATTTGTTGGATACAACCCATTCGCGCTTATGCGTGCGGGCAGGGCGGAAGCTATTTCTACGGAGTTTGCCAAGACCACAGCTATCCTCCTGCCAGGCACGAAGATGCGCACCCGCCTGGGACACCCACTTCTATGAGAGCACCCCGTACCATCATTGGGTCCACTGGGGCTGGGGGGGGGGGTGGTAGTACGAACTCGTCTGCGGGGGTGGCCATTGCTATTTCCAGCCGACAGTTCAAGAAGCAACATACCGTCCGCATCAACCGCCCACCCCAGCACCTACAGGGTAGAGCAGGCAGTTTGGACATCCAGCGCGGCCCGCTCCGACTACGGCTTATAGTAGGCTACTACCCTCCGCGATCACGTTCAGCACGTGATATCCGAGTATGGCGTACCACATGTAGACAACTTACGGCCTGGATCAAAGAGGAGATCGACACAGCCCCAGGGCGGATCACTCCCATTGTCTTCGCCGATATGAACATGCGGATGGGAAGGAAGGGGCGAGAGATAATCGTGGACAGCACCTTTGGCCCTTTCCAGGCTGAACATGAGGATGAAGTAGCCACTGTTGTAAGAAAGGCCTTTTCGGACAGCCATATGAGTTTCCCCATGCGTACTATGGCCTCAAGGGGGCACGAAGTCGGATCGATTACTTTTTAGGACCTCGAGCTCTACTAGACACGGGAATCCAAATGCATATGTTTTGGAGGTCCCAGAAACGTCTCCAGGCCCTCCCACACATGATCGACCACGTCCCCATGTGCCTGTGCATGTCCTTGCCCGCCCCACCCCCCCAGCAGCAGCAGCAGAACATCCAGTGGGACTGGGGGGCTCTGGCGGCGGCGTTGCAGATGGGATATCGGAGGGAGGAGCTCATGCAACGAATGGGGCAGGTCTGGGAGGAGAGGAGGATCTTGTGTCGTGTCCTCACGACGGACGGCGAGCCGACCCGACATGCTGGCGCGGTGGCCCACACGATCAGAGAGGTCGCTCGCGAGTTCTTTTCGGCCGAGCACTCGACCCCAGACTGGCTCCAGGAGGCGAAAGCTGAACGACGTAGGCTGTTAGCGGAGCGTGCTACCCTCAGGGACCTCGGGTTCACGATCACGAGCGAGCCCCTTCGACGACTCGACAGAGCGATCAAGTCGCACGCTCGATGGCAGAAATTGTGGAGGAGGGAGTCTCTGGAGCAGGAGATCAAGGAGGCGTGGGAGGTGCGGGGCCAGGCTAGAGTAGGTCAACTTGTACGCCTTCGAGCTGGTACCAGGATGGGGCCCCGTAAAAGGTGCTACCTCGCCCTCCCGGTGAGCCGCCCCAACTCCGCTGACATTCGAGAGGCCCTCCAGAAACCAGGGGTGGAAGGAGGGCTCACGGCCGTCAGCGCTATCCTAGGCAAGTACATGAACCCAGATAAGATACAAGATCTGATCAATACTCCTTGGGGTGAGATACCACCCTACGGACCCAGAGGCCTCCCCCTACCCACGAGCGAGGATTTCGAGATGGCGGCTGAGGATCTAGAATACTTGCAGAAACGATTACGACATTGCCATCGCCGCCGTTATGCCCCGCCGTGGTCGTGGCCCGTGGAGGTCGCGAAGTTGCTCCTCTTCCCCGCCCACCTCTTCTGCCCAGGCCTCCCTCGCGAGGGCTTAGGCTTCACGTGGCGAGCACGCGACCCCGACCTCCTGGACTTCGAGGCCCAGGCAGCCCGACCCCGACACCGCCAGCTGGTGGTCGATGATGTCGAGGCGCGCGTGGGATATGATATGCTACTACAACTCCTTGCACATATCCGAGCTAGGCAGCTACTCCCACAACAGGCACGCACCAGCCACGCCATAGCAATAAGCAAGCCAGGCAAGACACCTACGGGCAACACGGTCATGGACATCACACGGTGTCTTAGACTGTTGCGCTGCTTCTGTCACTGGTGGAGGCTATTATTGCGTGCGGGCCTAGTGGATTACGGTAGCCCATATGAGCCCCCCCTGGGCGTACGGCGGAATCATTCATCGGAGGAGGGAGGGGCTCATGATCATCATTCAACTTGTCATGTGGAAATTGCGCCGCTGCAGACACTATTATCTGGTCAAATCGTATGACATGATAAACGCGCTCGGCACAGGACATCATGCACGCCTACACGACGCCCACAGGTCTCGAGGAGTGGATGAGCACTACGATGAGCTACTCACGCACCACAGGGGCACGGGCATTCTCTACTACGAGGCTAGCGATGGCGACGTGGCGATGACACCGACGACAGGAGGGAGGACGGGCGATTCGAACGAACCCGAGCTGTTCATGGAATCCTTCTACCCGATCGTCAGTGCCTGGCAGCGTGAACTCGGACAGGTTGTGGGAGATCGCCTGGCATGCAGGAGCCCTCTGTTCGACCGCTGGGATGACCTGGCGTTCGGAGGCTTCATAGACGACCTGATCAGAATTGTCATTGCGCCGAGTGGGACTGCGCGCGAGGCCCTGAGCCTCGATTATCTGGACAGTAAGATACTAGACAAGTGCTGGACTGAGGGCGGGTACGCACAGCGCGTGGACAAGCAAGATACACTAGTGCACCTAGCCACTAACAGGGACACCGAGGAGGCGGAGGAGAGAGCATCGGGGGGAACGATGGTGAACATGATACACTTGGGCGGGTACATTAATATTAACAGTAGCAACAGGCGCGAGGTCAAGGCACGGATAAGAGCTGGCTCCATAGGGTGGAGTAACCTTCGGAACTACTGGGCTGCGCCTGGCCCCTGGAGGAGCAAGCGCAGCATGTTCTTGGCTAGCGTTGCAGGCCGTGTCTGGTCAGGTATGGAGGCGCATGTGCTCACCCCCCTGGAGGTGCGGGCCCTCGACACCTCTCTCGCTAAGGAGCTCAGAGCGATGATGGCAGGCGCGGCACACACGGAACACGAGGATGGCAGACACACGTCGTTGACCACCTGGGCCGTGTTCGAAGAGTGGGGGATCCCACCCACAGGGGTTTAATGTATGATAAGGAGGTTGGAATGGTGGCAGTCTATCATGGCAAACCCCGAACACCACCGCCACTTCCTCAGCGCCTTCTTCGGGGGGTGCAAGTTCGAGTCAAGAGCTCGCTTGGTGGGTGCAGCTGTAGCCGGTATTACTATACTTGGAAACGGCGAGCTGGCCCGCCAGCTTCATGAGGACTTCCCAACGATTCTTGGGCATCCGCATTTCATGGAGCTGAGGGGCGTCTGGGAGCCCAGTACGTTAGGTACCCTGTTCGGCATCGGCTCTGAGGCCTCCGAGGTTTTCCGCAAGTGCGACTTCAGAGCCCTGCGCACGACACTCAAGGGATGCGAGTGGCCCCCCCCCCAGAGCACTTCGAGAACCAGCTCCCCACTGACGAGGTGCTGGGGGGGGGGGGGGGGCGATAGTGAAGATGAGGAGCTCGCCCCCCTGTTGCGCGGGATCTAGGGATGCCGTGCCAGATTCTCGACGAAACGCGAGCTGGTCAAGCGCCAGATCAACGCGACAACGCTCGAGGGCCACGGCGCTCCTCCCGTCCTCTCGCAGGTATGTATAGACAATAAGTGCATCAACTGCGACACTGTCTTTGCTAGTATTGATCATGCACGACGCCGCTTGTTTCGAGCATGGATGTCGGGCAGATGCATCGCGGAGCTGACGAGACGCACACATGCCTGGACCCCCTCCGAGGTAACCGAGTGCCCATTGGGAGAATACAGCGACCAGCCTGAATGCCGCATTCATTATTCTGAGGCGCTGGAGCTGCGAAGACACATTCGCGCGCACATTCCCCCATGTCCGTCAGGATCTTGGCTCAAAACATCTCGGCCACGACCCGCCCACAGCGCTCGAGGCCCACTCGGGCGCGAGGTGCTGCGACCGCCGGCTTGGCGACTAGAGGACGCCCCCCAAGAGCACCGCGCGGTCCAGAGGCTCGAGGCGGTGATGATCGAGTACCGCAAGAAGGCGGAGGCAGCCTGCCCGAGCGGCGCCGAGGCGCTGCGAGAGGTGGGCTCGCCAGTGGCGAGCCTCGTGGTCGGCCTTCTAGAGAGTCTGATGGAGTGCGAC